GCGCCCGCCCGTTTATATAGGGCGGAGCTGCGCCGTGATTGGTGCGCTGTCCAGCCCGCCTCGCTGGCAGCCGCAGAGTGTCCTCTCGGATCCAGAGTTGTGTTTGTTACACCTCAAAAAAAGCCAAAAATATCAAAATTATCTACATCGAATTGTCCGATTTTTCTCAGATAATGATCCCCGAAGCCTCAGCCTTCATGCAGATCTCAAATAATGCGGAAAGCACAAAACCTTGTGCCAAAAACTAGCAATATTTCCCGCCGTGCTCGGCAAATTTCAACTCGGAGAAACAAAACTTTCTATTTTCTTCTTAAATTATAAACTGATCTTTAACGGTGGAGTTTTCTGACCTCCCAAATATGATTCTTCAAGTGGTTAGCTTCTTGTGTATCCCAAAAGCATGCCACTGGCATTAAGATTTTTATTACAAATCTGCGCTTAAGTGAGGGAAGTAACACACTCTCCTAGGAGAGTCCTGCCTATTGAGCCGAGGGCATTTGAGTTCATCAAACTGGTTTAGTTTAACGCCAAACAAGTTATTGCCCATTTGGAGTTAAATTTTGGACCCCTGTGACATCAATCTAAGTAGCTATAGTTTCATTTCTGTCCGTCGCACCAGGGTTTTAAAATAATTCCTTAGGATAATTCTGTTCTTTTCTGCTCCCAAGGGTTGGGGGCGGGGCTGTTGCTTCTCTCTTCCTCTGGACAACTGCTCCATGTATTGAAATACCTTGAATTCGGGGTATTTGGGAATCAAGGAAGAGTCCAAAACACACCCAGGGTACATGCATGAAAAAGGATTAATTTTCTAATAGCACATAAAGGACGTCAATAAAGTCGCTGAGGTGGAGACGCATTGCACTTGGAAGAATTTGTCTTAAACTTGCTCACTTCTTTTGGCATATATTTCTGAATCGAATTGTAAGATACTAGTTAGAACTAAAATCCAAGCATTGATCATAAGAAAAAAATAAACCAGGAGAGTAGATTGGAACATCATTATTTCTACTGTTAGAGAAACCTAGACCTGTTATTACTGAATATCTGATGAATGACTAGTCTACCCACCATGTATGGATTCAGTCTTATTCAAGTTTATGGCCTAATGCTTCCCAGATCTCCTTGAAAAGAAAGTAACACATGGGGACTGAATGACAAGTTCAATTTTCAATCTCAGAAACAGAGCTTTAAGAAGTTATATAAGCTAACTTGTTACCTTCCAAAGACATCCTTTGGAAGAGGCTGAGGCAGGAGGATCATGAGTTTGAGGCCAGCCTGGGCAACATAGACCCTGTCTCTAAATACATAAGTAAATAAATGAATAAGTACAATTTAAAAATACAAGGGAGAAAAATAAAATGAAAGAGAATAAAGGTATAAAACAGATGAGAGATTGTGACTATGTGGCATTTGGTGACAGAAGGGTGGGATGATGCCCATTTAAAAATGACAACTAAAACTACTCCTGTAAATGATGGAAACCTGCAGAATTCGTTGAAGTGTGCTCTCAGATGCCTTTGTTTATTGTCTGTATATGCACTGTTTCAAGCTTGGACAGACTTAAACTCCATGATCTTTCAAATCGCCATGGCTTCTCCCTCGTGGTGCTGTGAGTTTTCTCATGAATAAACTACTTGACTAAAGAAGAAGGCATTGAAGATTGGCCACTATTAAATCAAGTATTTATTTGAGAGCTTTATGTGATGAAATAGGAGCAATAGCAGAAGATTCACTTTCTCATTGATCTGCCAACTAGACTGTGATTTCAAAATTTCAGAGGTTCCAGAAATATCTTTATCCATGTGTTTAAATATAAATTCCAAATGATTCTGATATAATGAATCTCTGACTATTTAGCAAGTTTATGCCACTCACATGCTCAATCAAGTTTCAAAATCATTGCTGCTCTCTGGAATTGACTGACAGGGCAAAAGTATTTCCTGTTATTGAGTGTTTTTGTGGATTGCTGGGCTTGCCTGTGAAACCTCAGAAGAGATGCCAAAGCTGGATATGACCACATGTAGAAAAGGTGAGGACAACAATCCAACCCTGACTTGTTTGAATTCACACCTGTGTAGCCTCTATTGTGGGTTTAAGAAGGAGAAAGAAGAGTAAAATTAAGTGTCTTTTGGTTCCTTACTTTCCTGCACAGAGGGTAGCCAGAACTTAGTCTGCCTATGGATTGCTTGAATTCCTTAGTACAGCACCTCCACTCTTTATCTCACTTATTGGCTACCACATGTGTGCTTCTGGCAGACTCTTACTGAAAAAGCACAGCAATCTTCTTCTACAGATACCTGTTGAGAGCCACAGTTTAGTCGGATTGACGCCTGGCATTTTGCTAGAAGGAATGATTGAAAGGAGACCCTGCTCTGGGAATAGGGCGGCTGCTGGATTGGGGCGTATCCTGCTGGGATTAGGGCGGATCCTGCTGCCTGGAGCACCTGCTACTTTGGAGTTGTGGTTAAGTTCTCTGGATTTGGCATTGGGAGCCTGGTGGAGGGAGTGTATTCCCGGGAAGTGTGTGTGGAGTGCCGATGAGAGTTCGGGAATAAAGAGTTGCTGTTTGAACCTACAAGACTTTGTGGCAGCTGGGTTATTTTGTGTCCAGACAGACTGCAGCAGATACCAGAGCCATTTTACTCTGGAGGAAATGGACTTGCAATGGTCAAAAATTTCTCCAGGGAAGGTGACTGGTAAAAGGTAACACCCAAATTCTAGCTTATATTTGTCTGACTTTGAAGCATGGCCTCATAGTAAAGTTTTGAACAAGCATTAAAAATTATGAAATTGATGTCACATGCAAGGCCCAATGGTTGCTTTCTTTTTCTTTTTCTTTTTTTTTAATGAATTAGAATACAATAGAAGATACCAAAGAACAAAGGATGTAGTTTGTGTATATATACAACTGTGTGTGCTGGGCTCCTCACATATACAGATTTTCCTGTTATTAGTCTCATGTGTCCAGGATGTTTAAAGTAACATGAGTCCAGGATTCAGGAGAATAAAAGGCCAAGTAACTGTGGAAAACAATATTGATTGGATATTGTAAGGTAGAAAACAAAAAAAGTATGTCTTTTGTGATCTCTTGAGCTTTCATAATCATGAAATATTCTCAAGTGTTTTATTCTTTAATGAGCAGAGAAAGTAATTTCCTATTACTGATATGTTTAAGTTTCTAAGAAACCCTGAGTGATGGAAATGGGGGACACTGATCATTTCCATTTTGGACAAAGAAGTGACTATACTCAAAGAAGTAATATGATTTGTAGAAAATTTGAAAAAAAGAGCTTTGCTTAGTTCCCTTTACTCCACAATCGGGTTTCTAAGTATTTAATTCTGGAATTTTCTATTTTTATATGATGGTTACCATGGCTGTTTTTATTAAAGACAGAGTTTGGGCAGAGGTGTTTTATATTCGAAAAAATGCTGACATATTATCTTTAGATATTGTTTTTCTTTTTATATAAATCAACAACTAAGACAGGGTTGCATCCCGGGATTATTCATTGCACACTTTTTGGAATCATGAAATATTGGAAGTGATCTTAATGTCCATGCAAAAGAGAGTGGTTGAATGACATTCACACAATGGAGGAATAAGTAGCTGCAAAATGACTGAGGAAGCTCTCTGTGAATCAGAACAGAGTGGATTCTGGGAAACACATTTAAACAAAAAAGGCAAAGTCCACAAGATTGCCCATAGCTTGATACTCCTGGTGTGAGAAGGAAGGGGATATCAGAGTAAATTTCTGCTCAGTTTAAAAGAGAGTGCTTACGTATAGGAGGTGAAAGAGAAAGACGTGGAAAGAAGGAGCAATACAAAGACACATAGCAAGGATGGGGGCGGTGACTTTTCCTTTTTTTTTTTTTATTAGACCTTTACATAGAACACTGACCCTTGATGCGCTAGTGACGTTTTATACATGCACAAAATAAACTGTTACACAAACTGTTCAAATGAATAAGGAGCCAAGTGCAGTCCACACCTGCAGGCCCAGCCACTTGGGAGGCTGTGGCAGGAGGAGGGCTGGGGTCCAGGAGTTCTAGGCTGCTGGCAACCCAGGGAGACCTTATCTCTAAAAAATAAAAACCAATTAAACCTGCAGGGTGGCACACTAGAGTAATTCCAGTGATTTGGGAGGTTGAGGCAGGGGGATGGCAAACTTAAGGCCAGCCTGGACAATTTAGCTTCTCTCAAAATAAATAAATAAATACATACATAAATAAAATAAAAAGAGCTGGAGTTAGAGCACAGCAGTGGACCATACGGGGTTCAACCGTCAGAACCACGAAACAAACAAAAAACCCAACAAAAAAGCCAGTAAAAATCAGAGGGGAAATACAAAATAGAATACAAGCACTAAGAAATGAACCAAACTATAAAATTAACAACATAGTAACACTGAAAGGATTCAGGAAAATAAAAGCCTAGGCAACTGTGGAAAACAATACTGATTGGATATTGTAAGGTTGAAGACAGAAAAGATACACACATTCATGTACATATATATTGTAATCTAGTAAAAGCTTCCTTCAGGGGTGTGCTGCTATCCAATATTGAAACTATGTGTACATTAGAAGTGAACAAGTTAGTACAATTATCTATGTGTGCATAATGAGTTCCTGTGTTCTCACCCACAGAGATATAGGGGTATTCTGCTGAACAAACCTTATGGTTCTGAATTAGAATCAGAAGTTTTAAC